CACCGTACAGATCAAGTACAAAACAGTCTGCTTTAGTTATAGTGTTGACGAGAATACAGAAATGACTACTGTTAACTGTCTAATTCTTCTCCACCCTGTCTCTTACATTCATATATGTCTATTCGTACAAGTATCCTGCTGTCTCTCGTTCTTATCTGTCAGTTGATGAGATGGGTATATACCTATAAGACAGGTACATCTCACATGGTATCTTAACTGATAATATGGAGTAATTAATTAATTTATGACAAAAATTCCTATGAACTTTCTATGAACTTCGTCATAAAAATTTCTTATGACGAAAGTTCCAATGAACTCTCGTCATCGAATTCTCCTATGACGAAAGTTCATACCAAACTCTTGTGTATGACGAAAGTTCCTTTTTATGACGAAAGTTCCGAATACCAATTCGAATGTGTACACACACCTAGGAAATCACTAATACAAAGTCAACGTGAAACTTTGTCTGGAATACAAATCATGAAACGATAGTGGTCACGCCTGTGTGTGTGTGTATATCTGCGGACAATAGAAATAATACCTATTGAGTGATGATGGAGGAAGAACCTCACCTGTCGCCCTAAAGATAAATACATACTCATACCCATACTCTCTGCTTTTCTGTGTGCTTATGCAGAATCCAGATGACTATTCTTAATAAAGACACGAAAGACGTCGACAAATAATCTCTGCAGACAACTGTTCTTTTCAAAGCACATTCGTGAACCGCGTAGTCTCGTTGTTGTGTGCCTGTGAACAACTAACTTAGTCGACATCTGTTACTGAGCAGAAATAGTAGACATTTCTTCTCTCATCCTTCCAGCGGAAGAAAGATAAAAGAGAACTGCAAGACTCAGATAGTTCTGTATACATTTAATTGATTAACAGACAGCGAATCGAGAGTAAAATGAAGATAGTAAGAGTAAGATAGTCAATGAGATTTGGTGGATATTGGAAAAGAGTATCTTTTCCATTCTCGGCATGTGCCAGGCGCCATTTACTATTCACTGAGCATCGATCGACGACGACGACGTCGTCGAGCAATGATAGGTGTCGCAGTACTTGCAGTAAACCCGCTGGTGGTCGTGTCCATCGTCGTTATCGTATCAGTTGTTGTTGCGTCAGTGGTTGTCATCAATGGAACGATCGCGATGGTTGTCGTTATTGGATCGATCTTCGTAGTTGTCGTCATTGGATCGATCTCCGTGGTTGTCATCATTGGATCGATCTCCCTCGTTGTCGTCACTGGAACGATCTCCGTGGTTGTCATCACTGGATCGATCTCCGTGGTTGTCGTCATCGGATCGATCTCCGTGGTTGTCGTCACTGGAACGATTGCTGTGGTTGTTGTATTGGCGTTTCCTTCCATGCTGATCGTTGTAGTGGTGGTCAGACCATTAACGGGCGGTGCGGCTGGGGTGTCCTGAGATGGATCACCACCGTCGTATGATGGTGGATCTGGAAAGTCGGGCATATCAGGCTCATCGGGAGATTCGGGCTTTTTTGTAGTCAGTGCTTGTAATGGGGTCACCGAAACGCCAGTCGTTCCAGGACGACGAACGGGTGTAGGCACTGAACCAGAAGGTTTGGTCGGAGATATCCGAGACGGTTGTGTCGGTCCGTACACAGCCGGAGTGACCGGTTTGGGTCCTATTGGTGATGCAGGAGATGGTGGCCGCGGGGGGGGAGGAGGCGACGGTCGTTGGGGCGGTGGTGGAGGTGGTCGTTGCGGTGGTGGTGGAGGTGGAGGCGGTCGTTGCGGTGGTGGTGGAGGAGGAGGTCGTATAACAGGGGGATGGAAACCACCAAATGCGCCAAAGAGTCGCTTCTGTCGGATAACCTTGTTATCGGCCAGCACGCGGTTGTTCGCAGCCACTTGAAGAATGATAAGGAAAAGGAGGAAGCGGATCGACATTTGGTTGTTATTACTTGTTTGTGAGATGGTTTAATGTGAGGCAATAGTATGTTTCGGCTTGCGTTTATATAGTTGTTTCTCATGAACTTCCTTTTTGCCATCATCCACACCAACACAGAGTTATTTTTCACTACTTCCTCTGACATCATGAGTGACGCACGCGCAGGGAAGGAATTTTATTTGTGTGTGTGGTAGAGGAAATGATCAGGGGTCGAACAAAACAATACGACGATACTTTTCAGTAAACAGAACAGACCATATTGCAAACACTCGCAGGTATTAGAAGTGTTTTTCATGACACAGTATGTTTGAGATTTTTGATGAGTCAGGACTACGATTGAACAAGGTGATGACGATCGAATTAACGTACCCTCCACAGAATAAAAGGCCATCCTCGGTATCAGGCCATGCCTGAATAAAAGTTCATCTGCCCTATTAGAAGGCCATGTACTAATTAATTAATAAATTCGAAAATATTAATTTTTGTATAGATATTAATTAATAACTAGGGAAATATAGGCCGTTTTTTAGTGTTTTTTGGAGAAAGCTGTTGCTGTTTTACATAAATATTGTTTTTTTTAGCAAAAAATGATAATTGTTTAGTAAAAACCACCTAAAAATATTAACTAAATTATTAATTAATTATTCATATATTTTTATTAATTATCGGCCAAAAACCGACCCTCAATAGAAGACTACCCAAAAAACAGCGATGTGCCGAGATACTGTATAAGGCCATGGCCTTTTATTCTGGAGGGAGGTTTACGACAAGTACTGAAGCAGAAAATCGTCGAATCATCATGCCGACATCACATGTTGTTATGAGAGATCGCAGCAGTAGGCAAGGGCGGCATGTGTTCCAGGAACATGCCACTGAAGTCCACACCTCTCACCGACTACGTTCAATGGTGAACTGCCTGACATGTAACTTGATCTAAATGTACAACAAAAATACATAGACCAAGTTGTGCATATCCCTCGATGGTCATTCTTCTACTGTTCACCGGATCAATCGGCTTGTTCACGCAATCTTTAATGTACGATGTTATGGTACAGATCAACGGTAAATTTCAACTAATTTATTTTCAACAATCATTTTAAAATATGCGAGATCACGTCTGTTCCAGCCAAGCAAAATTTACTGCCGTTTCTATGTCGGAGTCACGAATGATATTTCGTGCTACATGAAAGAAAAATGTTTTTTTAAAGAATAGATATTTACACAAAGAGATCAATGGAATGTCAAAAGTATTTCATTTCTATCTAAATAACAACTTAGTCGTTTATGATATAAATGCCAGAATACTTCGAATTAAGTATCTTCCGAATCTTGACAAATCATGAGGCCACATACAGGTAACCGGGACGTCATTAAACTAATACGAAACGAACATAGCATTGTCGACTCTTTTATATTTTACATTCTTTTATAATCTGAAGGTCACAAATTGCCTGTAACAGAGCTAATATCTATTATAACTGATGAATAAAACAAATATTTGTGGCTGTAATATCAATTGCGTTCTTGCCAAAAACATTTTCTATGTGTACTTCATCGATTCTCCTTTGGCCTTTTATGCCTGATTTTGTTTCGCTGAATAACACTAGAAAAGAATAAAAGAATTGCACATCATATTTAATTAGTCGGTGAAATCGCAATATTGAATGAATTTATTTAACTGTTAATTTGTCATTCATTGCTGCACTATTGAACTTAGCTTTACACAGTTCGTATGTACGAAAACGTTTCAGTCGAACATGTTAAAACTTTACAGTGACTGGATATCGAATCAGAAAAATTGAGTCAGATACTCTTCAGTAGACACATAAACCTCAGAGCTTGAAAATCAAGAACTTATATGTTAACTTTAATAGATTTTATAGGCACAACTGCTTGAAATAAAAGTATACTCTGAAAGCAAGGTATCCCTAAATCATTCTCATATTTACTTCTGAAATTTCGTTCTTAAATTTACCAGTATGTATAGCCAAAAAAGAGCTTCAAAGGACCTTGGTAAGGAAAAAATGTTTTTTCTTATTTATGACGAGAAAGTGAAAAGCGTAAATAATGCATATCATAAATCTAGACACTTTCGACTATCGATAGGTAAAAAATTTGTTTATTTCGATTTGACAGATCGGACAAAAAGATCTATTTTTCAAAGTTATAAGTGCTTCATCGAATTCATTATTTTCAGCACAAACACAGCCTCAATAACGACGTGGAGAAGATAGTCTGTATTTGCTGTTGTTAAAATTCGGTCTCGTGTTGGAAGCGCTTCCAGGTGCAATGCATTTGCATCAAATCGTATTTTTTCTAATTCCTCCAAAGTTTGTCATTCACATTGATTTTTATAGGCTTCTATCGGTGATAGCAGAGTTCGTTCTTTGGAAATTTATTCTGAATGTCGTAATTGCATAGCCATTTTCATGTAGTTATATCCTTTAGTTAAACTGTTAAATCGATCACACCGGAGTGCTACGATGAAATTTTAAATTATTTTTAAAAGATTATCTAGGAACATCTGAAAATTTACCTTACTTTTTAGCGTTTTTTACCAAGTTTTAGTTAAATTTAAGTTTCTAATCAACCGAGTAAACATTACCAGTAATAATACAACCAGAGCGGCTGAATCGGAAGAGCTTTTTCAAGTGTTTTAGAGGAGTTTTCTAAAGGTTTAATGGTGTTTGCGCTAGACAAATCGGCGTTTTATATTTTGTTTAGCGAATCGTGATACATTTGTAATTCATAACAAAATATTCAAATTTACGCTTTTCTTTTTGTGAATCACAAAAGAAACATAAATATCTTTTACCCTCCTTCGAATGGCATGTTTGCAAATGGTAGTTGGTATGAAAAAAATCGAGTTATTTCAATTTTAAAGAAAACTTGTGAAGGAAGCATAATACCTCTTCACCTTTACGCATACTTCTCACACAAAAGAGCGTAATTCTCGTTTAAAAGCATTATTCTCGTTGACTAGACAAGGAAAGTTTTTATGAAGAGATACAAAATTCTCGTGGATGGAGCATCTTTCTCGTTGTGATAGCATAATTGCGGTTTCTCGATTTATCTCCCATCCCTCAACAAACATCCACTTAAACGTAACTGGTGATCAGTTCCAGTTACTAGAAACGATAACTGGTGACCAGTTCTTTTACCCAGGTATCAGAAACAATGGGAACTGGAACGGTCCCACCCCTACTCTTCTGTTGAAACTGCAGTTTAGACATTTCTCCTGATTGAAATTCATGGTTCAATAATTAAATAAGGGCTAAGTTAATATACTTATGAGAAGAGCGAATCTGAACATGAAAACTCTCAAAAACTCAAATAAAACACAATTGATGTTCAGCTTCGATCCCAGAGATTTAATCTTGCATACAACAATTAGAGAAATCCTGCAGATTTTTACAAAAACTTGATTAGATTTCTATGTAAGGAGATGGTGAGATTTGTATAGAATAGGAATCTTATAAACTTCCTATAATATACCGTAAAGTCAGTTGACCTAGGACGGAAAACCATGAAGAAGGAAAGTAACAAGTCTTGTTTACACCAGTAGTTCCTTGTCTTCATTTCTAGACTTGAACTAACTAGTCCATGATGTAGTACAAGAATTGTGTCTCGTACTGGGATTAGTATGCCTCGACTTGCTCTTTAAAATAAAGTATACTGAACACGTATACATCCTTGACTATGAAGAATAACTAGCTAAAAGCATGGAAGATAAAATCGAGCACAAAAGTCTCGGAGAAATCATCTTTCATACGACTTTCTGAAATGAGAGTTAAGGTGTTTCTTCGTTATTGCAAAATGTTTTACCCGGTTTTTTCTTCGAGAACATGATGCAGAAAAAGTGAATTATTTAACTCATAATGAATGCGCCAGCGAGCAGGAATCAGAACAACTAACCGAGTCGAGGCGTTCATTAGAACAATTCGGCCCGAACTCATATTTGTAATTGACGCTCAAGTCTATTTCTTTCCCTTTTGGCGGGAGACTTGTCATTACGATTTCTTTTCAACAATTATGCAAGAAATTGCACTGCTTCTCATTATTTTTGAGCAAAAGAAGTGCTATTGTAGAATTTTAGGCATGTCAGCCATCTTGAATTTCTATTGGTTGGCGTACAAAACAAATAAAATAGTTGTACGTAGCTATAAGTGCTTTTATAGTCGCTTTACGCGCCATCTTTTAAAAATACTAATTAAAAGGCCTAACGACAGAAGTTTGCTGATAGCAGCTTTTAAATATTCTAAGAATTACCTATTCATTAATTTTCTCTAGTGCAATATTTTGCAACTAGTTTTTATATGCTCGTCACAGAAATTACGATAATGGTGTTTTGAACTTTAGAAAAATTTTGATTGTTATTTCTAAAACAGCTTCAATCTTAGACTTCTCTAAGTTCTCTCATGTATTTCTCGATTATAGTTCGACATATAACTGGTATTTGATCTCAAAAT